TGTTTCCACCTGGCTATAAAGCAAGTCGTGTTCCTAGGCTGAAGAAACTGCAAGGAGGCTAGTCGCTAGGGAGAGGAAGCCAGGCGTTGCTATGTGACCTCATTACCCGGCACCTACAGTGACCGTTTCAGGCTGGGCTGGGTTGTGGGCCGCATTTTGTGCCATGGGGATCTTGGCAGCATTGGCTGTGATTTGGTGGGCTGTGGCTCGGGGGTTGTGGCGGGGCCTGTGTCACTTGGGGGAAGCTGAGTGTTGCTTTGTGGGCACCAGGCCCACGGTGCCGTTTCTTTGTAAATGGCCAGTGTGCGTCACGGTAGCTCCTGCATTGTCTGCCCCCTGGTGGTCAGTGTGCATCATAGTGACCGGTAGGCTGGGTGGAAGGACAGTTAGCATATTTGCCTTTTATATATAGATTAACATTTATAGCACCTAATTGATATTCATTGAGTGCTTACTGTGTGCCTTACCCAGTTGAAAGTACTCTATTGCTTTATATCATAAAGTCTTCTCTAATAGCCCTCTAAGGCAGGCATTGTCATTCAATTTTACAGATGAGATCATTGATGCTCAAAAGTTAAATAAAATCAATAGCAAGTGGTGAATTTAAGGTATCAACTGAAGGCAGTCTGGCTCTTGAACTCACTATGCCAACTACACTGTTATACTGATCACAGGGACACGCCAAATACTCAATGAATAATACAAAAGCAATCAGTTCTTCATAAAATCCACATAAAGATCATGAACTTCCACTATTTTTTTACTATTCCAAAGAATTCATGTCTTATCTAAATTTTTAGGTAATAGGAATATTTTGATCCCTAAATATTAATGACTTATAATAACAAATGTTAAAGATTTTTGTCTAAAATTTATTCCCTAAAGAAAAAAAACCTGTAGTTTTGCCATAGAGATAGATGATGTCTTATAAAGCTATGTAAAAGATCACATTAGGCAAAGTGGAAATGATAAAATATGTATTTAGGAGATGCTGATACTGAAAATATTCTATGGATCACTCTAAAATTTAGACAAATTTCTATTACAGGGCCATGATAAAATGGTAAAGATAATATATTGGATCAAGGAATAAGAACTCAACAGTTCATCTAGGCAGCTATGGAGTTATGAATAATTTTAATAAATATGCAAAGCTGGTAATCTGCCATATAAAATTGCTAGTCAGTGTGAACCTGAAATATATTTTTTAGGTATAATGTGTCTGTCCTTGGAATTAAATAATTAATCATCATGAATACTACTATTTTGGATTCTAAGATATCTGCATTTTGTCTTGTGCTTTAAGATTAATTTTGATCTCTCCACCATTTATCTGTGACTACTGTATAGATTAATTTATAGCTCAATTTTTATTCTACAGCTAGGTTCTACACACTAGAATACATTGCTGACCACTTGCCAAATGCATATCTAGCCCCTAAAGATAATACTGCTGAACTAACTGCAAGGATATGATCTGAAATATTAAATCCTATCCGCACCACCCAAAATATATACAGGAAGATATGCAATACATGGATAAATAAATGCACCTAAAAGACGAACCAAAGGCTGAAGAAACAAGCACTCATCTGCTGCCGATGTTATGAGGACATGACAACTACTCCCAGATAATGTGTTGATTTGAGAACCGACTTTAGCCTTTGCTAACGGTGCAGGATCAAGAGATCTAGTGCTGTAACCAACACTAGATCATAAAGACTTGGGATCTGGTTTAGACTCAGGATGAAATCAGCACTCGCCAAGAATTAAACTTGTACTTTATCTGTCTATCTAATCAAGAAATCAGCTCTGGAAAGCGATGTATTTTCTAAGATTCCCTTTTCTAACTATTTTCGTTATAGGGATAAAAAGGAGTGAGGTAAAAAAGTTAAGAGCACTAAGCGCTTGAGCAGAGATTCTGTTTTGTGTCTTAAGTTGCCGCTATCCTGTTACAACCATAGCCCTGCAGTTACTGGGCACTTACCAAGTGACTTGAACTAGTGAGCACTTTGTGTGCATTTTCTCACTTAGTTCTCACAGCCGTGCAACTGTATGATAGTACTCTATGCAGTGGCACTACAGGACAATGCAACTATAACAAAGAGCACCATAAACATACTATTATTAACTCAGTTTTACATATAAAAAAGATATGTAATGAGCTTGCTAGGCATTAGGTACTTGGGAGCTAAGCAAAAATGATAAATCAAATGATACATAATTGGAGGCCTCCTGAAGGTTACAATCTAGTAGGAAGAAATGTATTACGTGACCTCACAAATAAATACAACACTAAGAGCAGTAAGTGCTAAGAGAGATACAAGGTATGCAGATAGTAGATAACTGGTAGAATAGTGTGGTGAGTTGACTCAGATTTTGCAGCTTGAATCCTGGCTCTACCACATATTAACTGTAACCCTGAGCAAGTTATTTAACCCTCTTGTACCTCAGTTTCTCCTCCTATAAAATGGTGATACGATAGTACCCACTACCTCAAAGTTGCTATGATGATTAAATAAGTGTTAAATAAACAACTGTGGCTGATTTCTGCTATTATTTGACCTTGATGAGGTGTGGGGACAGTGGTCAGGGAGGGTAGACCACTTAGAGAAAGTGAGAAATGACCTAAAATCTGCAGGACAGTGGGAATTAACCAAGCAATAGGGGAGGACCGATGTTGGGTAGGCTAAGTGTGTCAGACAGTGGGCATGCATTTTTACCACTATCTAAATAGGTTCTGTGAGCACAATATGAAGTTAACTAGTTAGATTATCTTAGATCACTTAACCATTTTGGGACTCAATTTCATCATCAGAAAAATCAGGAGAAAAATTAGATTTATTTCTATGGTTTTATGATATTTGGAATTCTATAAAATTTGAGCATTTTACTCATTTCATGGTTCTAAATGCAGCCAAAAGGTAAATTTTAAGAACATTCCCATTTTATCTCTTTTCTACTCCTCTTGCTCTGTTCTCCCTCTTTATTAACTTTCTTACATCTGTAAATAAAAGAAATCACTCTGCAGTGACCTCATTTTCTGCCTTTGAAGGCAGTTTACACTTCTCCAACTGTAATGTCAATTTTCTGTTTCAGGAGTATCGTCCATTGGCATGATTTCAGGCAGCTGTATCCTATCAAATGGCCTGTTGTATACAAAGATGGACAACCACAAGTTTAAATTAAACAACTGTTTAACATTTCATATATTTATGGCTGTAAGATATTCTCAACTCATTGAGAGGCATATACTGTTCCTTCCACACAATTGTGTATTGCTTTCTGTAGGAGTTCAAGCCTCACTACTTCAACCTCTAGTCAACTGGGAGTATTTTGGAATTTCTACTGTTTAAGATGAACAGTGACACAAAATTCAGAATTCAGAGGTGCTGGTGCTGTCAGAGCCTATTTTTACTAACCAAACTTTAGACCAGGGTTATTCAGAGTGTGGCCCATAATCCTGCAGACCTTCAAATGTTACAGATGGGCAGGTTCAGAGCACTTAAATACTGTGGCCACCCAGACTATGGAGCTGTGATGTAAACCCAGGTCTCCTCACTCTGAAACAGCACTGCAAGTTCCCTTGTAGTGTTTCCCTCTTGCAATCCGGGACCCCTTGGGGGATGTCAGACTGCCAGTTTTGGCCGATCCCAAAGGACTCCACCAGTGCACAAATTTGTGCACTGGGCTTCTAATATATATTATAGAGAGGGAGAGAGGGTAGAAACATCAATGATGAGAGAGAATCATTGATCGGCTGCCTCCTGCACACCCCACACTGGGGATTGAACCCACAACTTGGGCACATGCCCTTAACCAGAATCAAACCCAGGACCCTTCAGTTTGCACACCGATGCTCTATCCACTGAGCAAAACCGGCCAGGGCTTTGTGATATATTTTAAAGAGGAGAGCACAAGGGCTAGATTTGGCTTGGTACCTAAAAGGAGAAGACATAGAGTCTACCCAATCTTCCCCATGCTTGGTATATAACTGGACTCCTTTTCATTCACTGGTAAGATCCAAAATATAGGCACTTAACCTCTGACAAACAACTTCCTCAACTCAGCTAGTGGTGCATACATATAGATATGAATTGATCAGATGATATCTTACTTCTTCAAAGCAAAAAACCAAGCAGTAGAAAAGTGTGTTGCTACCTATCTTAGGCTACACATGAATGACGGGCTGGCAGGCTGGTGACTAGTCAAAGCCCTGGGAGAACTTATGGACCTCATGAATCCTAGGCCTATAAAACCTCTTTTCTACTAGATATCTATCCTTCTAGGGATATTCAGAAACTTCAAATTCAGTGTATATAAGACCAAACTTATTGTTCATGCTACCCTGCCCTTTCTTCTAGTGCAGCGGTTCTCAACCTGTGGGTCGCGACCCCTTTGGGGGTCCAACAACCCTTTCACAAGGGTCGCCTAAGACCATTGGAAAACACATATTGAATATATAATTACATATTGTTTTTGTGATTAATCACTATGCTTTAATTATGTTCAATTTGTAACAATGAAAATATATCCTGCATATCAGATATTTACATTAAGATTCATAACAGTAGCAAAATTACAGTTATGAAGTAGCAACGAAAATAATTTTATGGTTGGGGGTCACCACAACATGAGGTACTATATTAAAGGGAAGGTTGAGAACCACTGTCCTAGTGTGTCCTTGGTCAATACAGGTCAGCACCATGGATAGCTCCGCGGGGAATTTCAGCTCCAAGCAGGACTGAAATGAAAGAATCTTTTGTAGCTTGGGGCAGGGTAGGGGCGCTGGGGTGCAAATGCATGGGATCTGAGCTATTTTTATTTTCTTTTTTAAGGTCCAGTAATGTGATGACTTTACAGACATTTTCCCTCACAATTCCATGGTAGACATGTTATTAATTTTCTCGTTATATTTAAAATATTCTAAAACTTTATTTTGAAAAATTTCACTCATACACAAGTCAAAAGAGCAATATAACTCCTCATGCCCCATCATCAGCTCCCCAAATTATCTATTCAGGGTATGTCTTGTTTCATTTATTTTCACTTCTACCTGCCTCCCTTTTCACTTCTACCTGCCTCCCACAACCCCACTAGTTTGTCGTGAAGCAAATCCCAGAAACTGTATTAATTCCTCCATAAACATTTAAGTATATAGCCACAAACTTTATCACACATAAAGAATTAATGATTCCTTATTGTCTTCAAATATCCAGTATTCAAATTTCATTATTTGAAAAGAAGTTTTACACCTTGTTTCTCTGAATGAAATTTTCTAAAAGCACGTTGGAAGTGTTTTAACATTTTAGTTATTATTTTTACTAATAACCACCAAACTGTTCCACTTTTTGCCAATGATACTTCTTTAAAGTTGGCACCCTGAGTTCTCTGACACAGTCTTTGATAGCTTTCTTGCTTTCTGAATTGACAAGATATTTCAAGCTTCTGATAGAGATCTGGAATTAGTCATTTTCCTAAAGATTTCAAAGTTTTCTTAGTGGGAAATGGTATTTAGAAAAATGTTCCAGTATACCTGGGTGTTCATTGCTACTGTGTTGGTTATTCTTTTTCAAGGCCTCTTCGGTGCAAAACAAAAAACCATTTTTTTAAAAGGGAAAACATCATAAATTCTTACTGCTTTTCAAATTCAAGATTTTAGATTTAATTAATTTCTCTAATTTTTATTTCCTCTCTCTTTTGCTGAAAATCTTAGTCCCTAGTGGCATTAACATAATTACCTATTTGCTCTATATTATTATATGCAATTATTTTAAAAAACAATAGAAATAATATTATTAATAAGTTATCTAAAAAGTTAATTTTTGCAGTTCTTTAGTCACTGGAGTTTAATTCAATAGAATATACTACCAAATCTCTGTATTTTTAAACATTTTTTAAACTATGAAAATACAACCATTACCAAAAAGTGCATTAAAAATACATGCTCATTTAACTGACAAGAATTTAAAAATGAATGACCATGTAACCATCACCTAGGACACCTAGAATGAACTGGAGCCCCTCTCCTGAAATCTCCCTTTCCTCTGGAGTTAATCAGTAACCTGTTAGATGATATAAAAGAGACCCAAAATAATAATGAGACAAAAATGTATGAGATAAAAAGATTAGTGAATTTCCAAACAAAGTAACAGAAATGATCTAAAATAAAATTCAGAGAGAAAAAAGGATTAAACAAATAAATAGAACACAAGTAAGCTGTGGAACAACTACAAGAGGATGAAACAGGCATAAAGAGAAAAGAGAGGTGGGATATGGGGTTGGGGGAGACTAGAAAAAATATCTAGAAGAATGTCTGAAGATTTTCAGATTTAATGAAAACTTAAAACTCACAGATGAAGAAGGACAACAAACTGCACACACATACACACGGAAAACTACACCAAGGCACATTACATCAAATGCTCAAAACCTGAGATAAAGAGAAAATCTTTGAAGTAGCCATGGTGGGAAAAGGGTTGCAGACAGAGGAACAAAGACAGAGGAACAAAGACAAATTTCTTGTCAGAAACCATGCAAGTGAGAAAACAGTGGTAAAAAATGTTTCAAGTATGGAAAGATAAAAACTCTCTCCAAGAGTCTATATCCAGTGAAAATATCTTTCAAAAACAGAGGTGGGATAAAGAGTTTTGCACATATATAAAATCAGAAAGAATTCATACATGGCAGAGCTACATGACAAGGAAGCTCTTCTGGTATAAGAAAAGTTATGCTAGACAGAAATATGGATCTACCCAAAGAAATGACGAGCACTAAAAGAGTAGATACATAACAAGATATATAATATGCTTTATTTGTATTTATATTTCTAGTAAAGATATTTCACTGCTAAAACAGAAATGGTAAATATGTAATGTGGAGTTTATAACATTAGTAGAAATAAATGTATGACAATAGAAGTGTGAAACCATGGAAATGACAATACATCATTTTAAGGTTGCTACATTATATGTGAGTTGGTATAGCATCACTGTGAAATATCAAAGATGTAAACTATAAACCCCAATGCATACATTAAAATTAGAGAATAAAAAACTATAGCTACCAAACCAACAAAGGAGACAAAATGATATGTTAAATGAATACATAATCTAAAAGGCACAAAAGAAGAAAAAAACACAGATGCAACAAATGCAAAAATAAAGTAAGTGGATTAAAATCTACCCTTATCACTAATCACGGTAAATGTAAATGGTCAAAATACTCAAATTAAAAGGCAAAGGTTGTCACATAAGATGAAAAAGCAAGACCAAACTATGCAACCTATAAGAAACCCACTTTAAATATAAAGGTACAGATACATTAAAAGCAAAAGAACGGAAAATAATATGTATCATGTTAACATTAATCCAAATAAAAATGAGGTGGCTATATTAATATTTGATAAAGTATATTTCTGGCCAAAATCTAGGGTTAGGGAATTTCACTTCATAATGAAGGTCAATTAATAAATAAGACATAAACAAGCTTCAATATTTCTGGATATAACTACATAGCTTCAAAATATGAAGCAAAAACTGATAGAATCAAAAAGATAAATAGATAAATCCATAATTATAGTCTGAGACTGTAATATCCCTCTCTCAATAACTAATAAAACAAGTAGACAGAAAATCAGTAGGGATATAGAAAAGTTAAGCAACAGTATCAATCAACCTGCAGTTAAGTGGTACAAAAAAAATTGTATATCTATAAGCAAAAAATATAAACTTTGATCTATACCTTATACCATATACAATAATTAACTCAAAATGCATCATAGATCTAAATGCAAAACCCAAAACTATACAGCTTCTGGATAAAAACACAGGAGAAATTCTGAGAAACTTGGATTAGGCAAACAATACTTAGAAATGATATCAAAAGCATAATCCATAAAAGAACAAACTGATAAAATGAACTTCAACAAAATTAAAAACTTATTCTTCAAAAGACACTGGTAGGAGAATGAAAAGACAAATCACACAGAGAGATAAGCTTTACAAAGCATACATCTGATAAAGATTTGTATATAGAACATTTAAAAATCCCAAGACAATAAAAAGTAAATTATTCAATAAAATAGATTTGAACAAAAATGTCAATAAAGAAGATATAGGAGTGGTAAAAGCTCAACATCATTATTTATCAGCTAAATGTAAATTAAAACTATTTTAGAACATACTATAACAAATAAAATTTAACAAAATTGAGAATGTGGAACAACTATACCTCCTATATGATTCACCATTCCATTCCTAGGTATTTACAGAGACAGCGCATGTTCAAAGAATTAAAATAAAAGTTCATAGATGTTTAATTTATAATAGCCCCAAATGGAACTAACCCAAATGTCTGTCAACAGGCAACTGGATAAACAAATTGTGGTATACCCACTCAATAGACTATTAATTATATGTAACAATGACTCTCAAAATAATTATGCATCTCTCTCTATATAAAACACTCTACAGAATGGGATTCAAATCAGGCAGATCAATGAACACCCAAGAGCTTACATTGTAGAGGGGAACCCTGTCTGCTTCCTGGACCCAGCTTATTCTCCAAGGGGAAGGCCTTCTCTTCCTGGGAGACATTTACAATTTGTTTCATTGCCCAGGGGTGTTCAGCAGTCCCTTGGCCCCAGGGAAATGCTTCTCTAGGGTCCCCAAGTTCCTTTGGCAGTTTTGGCCTCCAGGTGTTGGCAAGGCTCTGAGAGACCAGAGTTGGGTGACACTGGCTGCAGTAGTCTCTGGTCTCTTGTAAAGGAGGCAGCTGCACTGATTTTCAAAAGCAGAAATGTTGGCATAATGTAAATAAAGCAGCTGTCTCTCTCTCTCTTTCTCTCTCTCTCTGAAAAACATAATTAAAACCAATTCACAGTATTTCTACTCTTAGGAAAAAATATGTAGAATGCCATCTTTTTGTCCTCAACACAGTTAACAATGAAGGACTTTTGTTTGAAATATAGAAAATTAATGCAACCTCTTGTGGACGAAAGGGGCCACATGCTGACCTACAAGCTCAGGGGAGGCCTGCATGGCAGTCTTGCAAACTCGGAGACCTAAAGTAACCACAAAGGTTGGTCTGAAATAAAAACCTTTAATTAAAAAGCAGTTTATAGTGGGTATTCATGTTCTAGGCCAGTGTCTTCCCTGACAAAGATCAACTTCAATCTTTACTGGGTCTATTGTCTTTTTACATCTATGATAACACTAGGGGCCCGGTGCACGACATTCTCCGGAGCATTATCTCAATTCTTTGAGGTTCTGCTTCCCGGCATGTGTCGACAGTTTGGCAAATAAACTCACAAAAATTCTTTATAGGTTTCAATGGTTTTTTTGCGTTAACACTCTGAAGAATTTAGTAAAAAATTGGCAGTGGTGTTATTGACAGGACCTTTCTGTGTGGATAAGCCAAACACTTCTTTAAGCACACCATCATGTCTCACCTTTGATGGGCGTCTCCTGAGTCAACAGGACAGACTGCACTTCACATGCCACAGGTGAGGGGGGTAAGTAATGACACTCCACCTGCTGCAGGTGAAGGCTCCTCAATGCAGCTGACCAGGAGTCCTCTGGTTCCCCCGGACTGAGTGGGTACAAAGGATACCTTAAGTGTCCTTTCACATTAGCTTCTTGGGTTGAAAGATCAGCTTTTCTGACTTGCTAACAAAACACATTTTGAGGACTGGGAGAAAGAGCTGCCTCCCCTCCCAATTCTTCTCCTTTGCTGTTTACTGCTAAGCAATTGCTACAGCCATAGCCTGCCAATTCACCTGTTATAGACTCATTCCCACCGTCAAAAGGGAGGACAAGGGCCACCTGCACCCTGAGGTGCTCAGCAGTCAGTGCCGGGCTCCACACAGAGAGAGGTACCTGCTAGAGCAGTGGTTCTCAACTTTGGCTGCACATTAGAATCACCTGGGAATCTTTTTAAACTCCTGATTTCTGGGCCTCATTCTGGAGGATCAGGAGTTTAAAAAGATTCCCAGGTGATTATAATGTGCAGCCAAGGTTGAGGATCACTGTGCTAGAGTCTGGAGGCCTGGCTGATTCAAAATCAAACCCAAACAGGCAGCTAGGCTGAGTCCAGGTCAGATACCCTCCCACAGTGCTGATATTTTTCCATATTCTTACCCTCTAAGATTCCATGGATGCAGCTTCTCTCAAAGTCTAGCTAAACGGAGCTACTAGGCTGGGTGGGAAATAGCTGGCTGGCGAAGGCTGAAGCCTTGGAAACATCACAGAAACATTCATGGTGATGGGAGCAGCTAATAATATTGTGAAGTCTCAGCAACTCACAGCATGAGCAGAAAAAGGGAAACACTAAAAATGTGTAATGAATGTGTGATGGAAGGTTTTAAAAAATTTCCTCTTGCAGAAATGTCTAAATTGCAGGCTACAATGTGGCTGAAAGAATCACTCTCATTCATCAAGTATTTGGGGAACCCATGTATTTTGTGGCTCTTGGGGACACAGCAGTGCACGCAGCAAAGTCCCTGCTCCTGGAGGAACCTCCATTCTAGAAGGGGCAGAGTAGTGTGAGAAGAGTGAGGTTAGGGGCGGGTGGGTGGTGGGCTGTTTCAGACAGAGTGACATGGGAGTATTTTGTGAAGAAACATCTGAGCAAATACTTGAATGAGATGGAGGAAAAAAACCAAAAACCAATCAACCAATCAATAACTTGAATGCAAGAGTAAAGCTATTGGTGTTAAAAGACTCACATTAGTGCCCAAGAAAATGACCAGGAAATGCACAGAACTTGCAAAGGCTGTATGGGTATGTTTTCCTGCTTTGCTATGATTGTCTCTTAACCTAATAGGATTTTATCTAGATATTAGGTGACCTACACCTCTATATTACTGAGTGGCCCAAACTTGGTTTCTTTAAAATAAAATCTGGAAGGGGTTACTATTTCTTTTTATTTTCAAGTATTCTGGAGACAGTGACAAGATTTCTGAACTTACCCACTTAGCCAATTTTAAAACATGTGAGTTCAGGGTCAGGTAAGGAAGAAAATGAAGACATGCAAATGTGGGATTGCTTGTCATATAAACACATGAATGATTTAGTATGTGTAGACTGGCAAAGGGGGAACTGGATTAATAAATTCCAGTAAGAGAGTAAGGGCAAAACAAACCAAAGATATAAAGAAACGGGAGGCATCAAAATGCATGCATGCTCCTTTGGACATAGCTGATTTTTTTGCTCTCACTCAAGTGGTTGGCATACCTGAGTCACTCCACCCTTGGTACTCTTTTGGAAAACATGCACTTCTAAGCCTCAGATTTTGGATTCTAATGCTATTGCTGCTCAAAATAAGTAAGGCTCCTTGGAAAAGAGTCAGTTCTTTGTTGAAGCAAATTAGTTATACCCTCAGTCTGAAACTAAAAAGAAAACAAAAACACAAAGAAGAGACCACAGAGAAAGACTGATACTGGTCATTGGGACAAGATGAGCTGAGAGAGACCAGGAGTCCGTATGATGTCAAAAGCGATAAATAATATAAAGTCTGGTAGAAAAAGGTCACACCCTGGAATATGCATTAATTGCGTAAATTCCAACTACAAAACAATATAAACATGCAGCCCTTCATGGATGAATACACAAATGTTGAACCACAGTCTGCATGTAGCTGGCAAGAAAATGAATTTGTATTGGCTGGATGAGGCCACCCCATAAGAGGCTGTTAAGTCAGAATCAAGGTGGATGCAGGAAGATAGACTTGTTGGAATGAAAAGCTGGTTACAAGAATATTATTTCAGGACCCCTGAATGCTGCCTGTGCCTTCAATTCTAGGGTACGGATATGGCCTCGCTGGAGGTTGAGTTTAGTTCAAGAACAGACAAGTGAAATGATCACATGTAGGCACCCCTAAGTTCCATACACCAACTTCCTGTGGAGGACATCATCATTAACTCAGCATTTCCTCATTTCCTCCTAGATACTATTTAAAAGCAACAAGGAAAGTTAGAGGCAGGACAGAAGGACTCTGATCTCTGGCTCCATCACTAGGCTACACCACGGGTCATTTTACTTGTTCTGCAACTGGTTTTCTCATTTGAAAGCTGGGTGAACACCTACATTTCATGGAGTCATGAGCCTGTGGGAGCCAAATCCTGTAAGGAACCCACTGGGTCCCGGGACACAGCAAGAAGTCAGTGACTGTGAAGTCTCTCCTTGGTGTGACACAGGGAACTGTGATACACATAAACCCACCTGGACATTAGCACATGAACAGAGGAAACTGAGGAGGGAAGGACGGGGAGTAGCTGACTTTATCATGTATGCTCTGAAGTTTTCTAATAACAGCTGCTCTGGATCAGCAGGCACATGGTGGCCTCGAAGCAGCACTTAACCATCTGCCATTATTTCTTTACCTAACTACATTTCAGTTTAAATTAATAAAGGCTATTTTTACTCCATCAGCTTGATGATCAGTATTTTTCTTATTGACCTATCTTGTTAATTAAACTTATAAAAATAAAGCGGAAGCCATCTTCAAAAAAAAAACTTAAAAAATTACAGTTCCAAAATTAAGTACTTCAAAACAAAAACTTTTATTGATAAAATTTGCATTCCTTAGGAATTATCTAGAATTTAGTACCAAAATAAACTGGCTAGTTACAAGACACATACTATTAAAAGATCACCACTCGTGTTATTAAACTATAAAAAAAAATCCCCACTCATTCAGTTTCTGTTGCACTTACAATAAAGAAACTCAACGAAGAAGTATGTTTTTTTGTTTATTTTTCCTATTCTCTTTCTTAGGTCTTTGTGAATGACCACCTCTTCCTATTTCACGTAGGATTCGGAAGAAAAAGCAATTACTATATATCTGTCCAAGGATATAGGAAAGCCTGAGAAGTCTTACAAATGTTGGAAGATTTCACAATGCTTAAGCCAAGAATAGGAAAGATCCATGCATCCCGTGAGAAACCTCTCAAACTCTCATTCAGACAGTCCCTG